AACTTCGTTTTTCTTTTGAATAAGTGTTTAGCACGAACTTCTTTTAGTCGACCACGTCTAAGTCAAAACATAGGGAATCCTCGCACTGTCTTTGGACTTTGGGGGACCACAAGAACGTTGTTGAAGAAAAAAAATTCTCTAAATATTATCTTAATACATAGATAATTCCTCTTAATTATTCGTAAAAGGAAATCTAATTATATTTTATAACTAATGAAATATCATGTCATGTTTTTTTAAAAAGAAAAAAAATCGCAAACTTGTAATATTTGTCAAAGTCATTTCAATCGTGTCCGCTAAGAAGTACTTTTATTGGTTTGGCAAAATGACTTTTTGATATATTATCTTTTTCTTTACAGTTATGGCAGTTGGAAACGCTTCTTCTGCAAAGGGACAATTACATGACCTACAGCAGACCCTTAAGCACAACAAGTGTTGGATGGGGTCAAAACTTAGGAACTCTTAATAAGACCAAGAACCTAGTAAAGAGAGCAAGTTATGCATTTAAATGCCTTGTATTAGATAACTGGCAAAGAGGCTGGATTCTTTTGCTATGGGTGATGGTTATGGCTGTACTTTTCACCTGGAAATTCTTGCAGTATAGGCAAAGAGCAGCATTTCAAGTCATGGGTTACTGCTTGGCAACTGCTAAAGGAGCTGCAGAGACTCTCAAGCTCAACATGGCACTAATTCTTCTCCCAGTTTGTCGAAACATTTTAACTTGGTTACGGTCTACTAGGGCCAAGCTCCTCCTTCCTTTTGATGATAATATCAATTTTCACAAGGTAAAATGCACCCAAACAGAGTATATTGTTCAACATCCAAGAATTTTCTTAACGATGTTGTTTCAACTGCAGATTATTGCATATGCTATTGGAGTTGGAATCTTGCTTCACGCAGGGAACCATTTAGCCTGTGATTTTCCTCGTCTCATTAACTCATCTCCTGAAAAGTTTGCACTGATAGCTTCTGATTTTGACAACGTGAAGCCCACTTACAAAAGTCTATTGACTGGTATTGAAGGCGTCACTGGTATTGCTATGGTGATTTTGATGGCAATTGTCTTCACACTAGCAACACGCACCTTCAGGAGAAATGTATTGAAGCTACCACCTCCTTTCAGTCGATTAACAGGCTTCAATGCATTTTGGTACTCCCATCACCTTCTAGCAGTGGTCTATGTACTACTACTGGTACATGGAACATTTTTATTCTTGGTTCACCAATGGTGGCAAAAAACAGTAAGGCCATAGATAAAACACCAAATTTGCTTTATATAAACTAAACATGGGGTGTGCTGACAATTTATTTCCCATATTGCAGACATGGATGTACATTTCCATGCCGTTGCTCCTCTATGTAGCAGAGAGAAGTTTGAGAACATGCCGATCAGAACACTATGCAGCAAAAATTTTGAAGGTAACTTGCTTTATCTATCAACTTTTCCATCTATACAGAAATTAGACTCCTTTTCCGCATACCAATAAGCTGTAATCAACACCTGCTTCTAGCCTCCCTCTACACCCCTTAATAATTCAACTCTCCAACGAAATCTCACAACACCACAAACCATTTATTCAATCAGTTACTTCCCTAAGCAGCAGAGTTTCTCTTATTCCATGGCAAACGTCCACCGTGTAACATCGTAAACATGACCATCGAGCACCAACATAAATCAATCAAATACTGGCACTCCAACCACCAGCGCCCCAACAATTTTCAAAACCTTCCAATATAGAACTAAGTCAAGTGTGAAAATTTACCGTTAGCAAACTCAAAGTCGAGAGATAAGAGGGGGGGAAAGGGTAGCCTGGTGCACTAAGCTACCACTATGCCAGGGTCCTGGGAAGTGCCGGACCACAAGGGTCTACTGTACGTATCCCTACCTTGCAGTTCTGCAAGAAGCTGTTTCCACAGCTCAAATTTGTGAACTCCTGGTCACGTGGAGGCAACTTTACTAGTTCTGCAAGGCTCCCCTTGTTATAAATAAAGTCATTCACTAATGATAGTCTTTTCTCTAAGTATTTAATAGCATTCCTAAATTACTAGAGATGATATAAGCATCTGGTTCCTACAGCCTCCACCCACAAGACAGTAGTAAAGAAACAAATAAAACATATTGAGATAAACATGGTAGCAGGGAGAGAAGGAAAGGAACAAAACACGAAACCAATGAAGATGGTTTTTTCTTTGATCCTTACAGGTTTCTGTACTTCCAGGAGATGTATTTAGCCTTACCATGTCAAAGCCTAATAGTTTCAAATACAAGAGTGGGCAATACATATTCCTGCAGTGCCCAACAATCTCCTCATTTGAATGGTAAGTGCAGTATTTCTGGATTTAACTCAATCATGCCTCAACCAACAGATATTTAACATATATCTTGATGCTTCTCCAGGCATCCATTTTCTATAACATCAGCCCCAGGAGATGACTACCTCAGTGTTCACATTCGCATGGTGGGTGATTGGACCAATGAACTTAAGCGGGTATTCACAGAGGATGATAGTTCAGCATGTGAAATAGGGCGGGCTAAGTTTAGAGAACGTGGGAATGTTGATCAAAGAGGGTAACTTCCTTTGTGTGATTTTTTAACAGAAACATATCAAGATTTCCTTATTGAGAAGTCTAAAGGGCTTGTAATGACGCAGTTTACCTCGATTGCTTGTTGATGGACCATATGGTGCCCCAGCACAGGACTATCAAAATTATGATGTCTTGCTCCTCGTGGGACTAGGTATTGGAGCTACGCCTTTTATAAGTATCCTAAAAGATCTATTGAACAATTCAAGATCAGAAGAACTGGTACAAATCTTACTTCAAGTTAATTTGGAACTAATCAGGTACAATATTAAAAGCCCCAACTTACAGTCTCTTTGCCTGTGATTCTACCTTAGGATTCAACTACCGAAACCAGCGCTTCGGATGACAGCTGGACAAGTCTTGCCTCTTCAAGCATGGCATCAACTGGAAAAAAAAAATCACTCAGGACAAAAAGTGCACACTTTTATTGGGTTACCAGAGAACCAGGATCCTTTGAGTGGTTTAAAGGGGTGATGAATGAAATGGCCGAAATAGATCACAAAGTAATGTACAGAGATTTGTTACAGGATATCTTTAAGTGCCCCCCCCCCCCCCTCTTTCATCTTAATTCAGCTATGATATATTAGTAATTGACTCACCTATATCTTTTCTGATGATTTAAATGAAACAGGGTCTGATAGAGATGCACAATTATCTTACAAGTGTTTATGAAGAGGGTGATGCCAGGTCAACTCTCATCACCATGGTCCAGGCACTCAACCATGCAAAACACGGTGTTGACATCCTGTCTGGCACTCAGGTATTATAATCCATCAATATTCTCAACCAAGCCTTCTTGAAGAGAAATGGAAAAGAAATATAATGTAGTAAGGAATTTTAGCTTAGCTCAACGAGCGCCATGTTCTAGCTAAAAAAATGTTTTATTATTCAAAAGCTACTTAATTTCATGAAAAGTTTTCAATCACAACACAGATTAGAGAGAAGCAAACTAGAGGAGAAATATACTCCACCCCCAGGACTAATTAAACTAATTCTACTGCAGGTAAGGACACATTTTGCAAGGCCCAACTGGAAAGAAGTATTCAACAAAATTGCTTCAAAGCATCCATATTCCACAGTAGGTAAGAAATTTCTACAACCTAAACTCCAATAAACTGTAAGCAGAAGTGGTTCTAAGAAGTGTTGTGTCATACCTATTAGTTAACCTCTCACCTACAATATGTCCAAACCTCCTGCCAGCGGAAATTATCACATAATAGAGGCGAAGGAAGAAAACAACTATGTATAATCAAACACATGAAACATGAAGCAGAACATAATGATGCAGCAGCATTACCAATTATAAGAATGGCATCCTTTTTGTCTAGATGAAGATAGAAAATATAGCTCTAAAATGCATTGTCATGATGAAGTAGCAAGGCTTTATAAATCTTAATTTGTCTTTCGAAGGAACCTAAAGAATGTAAATGAGATTGAAATGTGTTCTTTAAACTTCAGAAAGAAAAAAAAAACTCTAACTTCATGACAATGACCATTTAAAAAGAAGCAGCCTCCAACAGGGCACTTTCCTGATAACATTTTGCATTTTCAACAGAGGAGGGGAGAGAAAAAAGAACTAAAAGGAAGAAGATATTTAATAGATTAGTTAACAACACAATTTTATGTGATTCACAGGAGTCTTCTACTGCGGGTTGCCTGCCTTGGCAAAGGAATTGAAGAAGCTATCACAAGAATTGACTTATAAGACATCCACACGATTTGAGTTCCACAAAGAGTACTTTTGAAATAGCAAATTTACCAAATAAGCGACATGATATTCTTTATTTTTCTTTTCATTTTTTGTAATTGTCCATATGATTAAGAGGAATGAATGTACCACTACACACTGATCCAGAGAAATGTAAATGCATATATTATACGAGTTACAATAGAGAAAGAAGTCAAAATAGTGAGTTCAATATATAGGAGAATGTAATTATTTGTCCTTTGGGATCTCCACAAAAAGATTTTTCTATTGATACAAGAAAGCAATCATGTTTGTCGTTACAGTGTCAAATACATACAGCCAATATTGTTACTATGCACCTATGTGTAGGCCGTAGGGTGTGAAGAATGGTATATGACATCCTCAGTGCGTTTGTGAATACCACTAAGCTGCAAGTGTGATATTGAAGATGAGAATTAAAGAAAATGAGGCAAGAGAATGAAGTACTAAGGAAAAGAAAGCAAAGGTGGAATGATGTTGCTTGATGAGCACCGAGTAAATGACAAATCAAGCTATTACTAGGCAATTATACCTATCAAGTTTCCTGAACAGTGATAGAAAAGATTATTTCGTACTCCAAGATAAATAAACTGTCTCGTGTATTTGTTTCTATCTTTTTCTTTATGTTGTCAAAAAAGGTCCAATGATATATCAGATTTTACAGATGGAAGAGGGCTGTTAATAAAGAATATTGAAGAAAGTTGATAAATTCCTTTTGTATCAAACACAATTCAGTGCTTATGCAGCAAAAACCCATAAAAGACTTCTGTATATCATGGCCAGAAAAGTACAATGTGATATGATACCTACATGGAAAATGAAATTACAATCAGAAACTGGAAGTATCCAAAACTTGTTAGTCCTTCAATCCCTTGAGAAATTTGGAAGCCCATCGGCGTACACGACGCTTCAGTGTATAACCAACAAATATTCCAGCAACAAAACAAATGGCACAGAGCTTTGAGCAAGTCCACAGTGATACTGCTTGTCTACAATAGAAGATGTACAGCTTTACCATGAGAGTGTCAATAATTTCCATTAGTCACATTTAAACAAGGATACTATACTAACAAAAGCTATGATATACTTAACTTGGGTTTCAAATAAAATAGATTTAAAAGTTCAGCACCGAAAATGTGGAACTGACCATCAGTAGTGGTAGCTGGTGATAATACTAGATGAAAATGCACAGATCCTCAATCTCAATTTCTAGTCTGGGTACATCTTTCTATCATGTAAACACATAAACTTATTAATTAAAGACCTTATGTCAAGCTATCTCATTACCGGTCTGATAAAAACTATTCTATCTATACGGATACTCATTTCCTCTCATACATGACACGGATACTACGAATATCAAGCAACTCAAAAACTTACCTTTCTTTTTCTGCAACAATACTAAGATCTATGAATAACACTACAAAAATCTAGAGCCAGGTTTTTGGTGTTCTTCGACCGATTTCTGCACCATTTAAGTTCCGATATCTTAGACCACACACTTAGCAAAACTTGGAAGGTTTGTATGAGTTCATACTTCATCCCAAAAAAAGTAAGGGTAACCAAACTACAAACTCCTAAGCTTGAATGAAATCACAATTCACAACCTACAATAATTATTTCCCAAAAGCCACAATTCGTCATGGATCAAATTGAGTTGAAAAAGGGAAAGGGTTATGTGACACACCTAGTAATCACACAGTTATGATCGGCAAAGGTCAAATTATTGTAAGAAAATAAGTAAAATAAACGCAGGTAAATAGCAAACTGGGAAAGTAAGTGGGAAGAACCTGGAAGATCGAGTAAGCAAAAGCTGTGATTGCTCAGCCGACGAAACAGTAGCAGAAGATTTAATGGGTGCCTTTTCAAGAGCAGAAGAAATGGAACTTAAACTGCCATTAGGATCCTGAGACATGGCACTACGAAAAGCCTTCTGTATTCCCTCCATACTGGAATTTGGCTACCGATTAGGGTTTTACGAATTTTGACTCTTATAGTCCCTCCTTTTCTTCTTCTTTTTCCAGGTTCTACATGTCCAAGTACTATTCGATTTGCTTTTTAATTTTACTAGAAAAATCACAAAATAATCAAATTGAATCGAGGAAATTTCATATATAGTCACCAAAAAAAAATTTAATTACACTACATAGTTATTGTTTGTTAGCTATAATTTGGAGCTACATATTAGAGGAAAAAGAGAAACAAATCATATTGGAAAAGGGAGGAGAGAGGCAAGCCACATTGAAAGAGGGGGAGAGAGGCGTGCGAGAAAGTGGGGAGAGGTAAATTGTATTTGTAAATCTGGCATGAAATTAGAAGAGGAAAGAGAAAGGTGAGCGAGGGAGGTCAGAGAGGGGAGAGATGTGAACAATATTTGTATAATTATATATGTATAATTTATATTTGTATATTAATAAGAGAGGAGAGAGGCGTGATACGAAGAGAGGAGAGAGGCGCACGTAATTATAAAGGTTGCGAGTAGTAATTTATTCACACTAATGTAATGTTAGCTAACTAACTCATATGTGTTTGCCTATCTGCTTAATTTGTCCTAAATACATAATTAAAGTTACTTGAAAGTAAAATGCTTACTTAAGTTTGATTTTCAGTTGGACATCGATTTCAATCATGCCCGGTCTATATACATATATAATCCACAAGCCCCCTCATATATTGCAGGATCATGATCCATCTCATTAAAAATTTTAGTGGTCCTTGATCTATTGAGACGATGATAAAATTCATTACTTCTCATTATAAAACTTGGCGATGACCAATATGCATCATGTCTAATCGGTGAGAAGACCAGAATATGTTACAATGTGATTCTCTGTTATAAATTACCCTCTTTTATAATTTCTAGCTAGCGCTCCCATTCATTTAATAACTATCGCGACATGTATACATGAAAAATGTAAATTATCTCATTTTTCACATACGCATTTTATTACTTAGTGAAACACCATAAGGATTACCATTAGTACCATCAATTTGTATAGATCTAACCTCGTATATCCATGTGGATATATTTCAATAAAAAATAAAGTGTCTTTTTAAACTTTCATAGTTTTCTCAAACTTCATTTTGTAACTATAAAATTGGAGAGTTGTTTGACATCTACGAGTATATCATTCGACGGTTTGCACCAATGAATGTCTAATCACGACAGTGTCTAGTAAGCCTCGTGCTTTCTTTAAAAGTCCATTGAAAGATTTATGATCGATATTTTTCATCTTTTTCTATCATCATGGCTAACATTTTCACTTGCCCAATGAAATTCGCATGAGGTATTCATATGCTTCTCTATTTTCTTCTTGAATTTTTCACCTTAAAATTTCAAACTTCCTTACTTGATGAGTTGTATCAGCCTTCACATCAAATTACTGAGGTTCTTATTTGAAATAGGATTAAAAGTTACTCTTAGGGGGTGTTTGGTTAGTTGCATTAAAAGAAATAATCCATGTATTATGTATGGTATAATTTAATATTATGTTTGGTAGGAATGTGAGCCTATGTATAACTAATCCATGGATTAGTTTATACATCCCACATGGTAATACATAGGATATAATACCATGAGATAAGCACATAAAGACAAAAATATCCCTCAAATCTTTTTAATTTTATTTTAATTTCTTGATTTTATGTTTTATATTTGTACTGGTAAAATTATTTAAATAAATTAGTTTACAAATTATTTAGAGAGATTTATTTGTAACTAAATATATCCAATTCAAATCAATACAAATTTAAAATGTGAGTTATTTAACGTTTACTAATTAAAAGACAAATATATCACTAATTATTTGTATTATGAACAATTCTAAAAAATTGCATACATATTAAAATTATAACTTGCAATTTTTATGTGCAAATGTACATGGTTTATTCAATTTTACAATTGTTGATCGTCTTTATAATTTTAAAAGTAGTTGGTTTATCTTTTTTAAATTTAAAATTGATATTTTAATAATGATCAATTTATTAAGATGGAAATTATTTATCCTCAAATAATTCAAGTAGAAAACTGAAAATATGACAACAAAATTATCATTTTCATAGCTAGTAGAATGTCATAAAAAAAATATTTCTGATAACTATCTACCTTGACCCGATTACATAATAATTTAAGGATATAACTGAAAAGGACATTTTTAAAGAATTTTATTTCAAACACAAATTGGGATTGAGAACAATGAACTAAACACTTGATAAAAATAAACACTGCACTAATTCATGCACTACTAATCCCTGCATTACTAAACCATGCGTTATTTATTTTTGTATCAAACGACCACTTAAGATGTCTTAGACAAATCGATGGAAGACCAGAGGCTCCTAAAATTGCCACAACTTCAATAAACTAATTAAGATTTATTCAACGCCCTATAAAAGATAATACAAATATCTTTTGTATTCTTTACTAACACGTGCACTCAATTTCCTAAAAAATCATTTTCATACCTTTTTCGACACATTGTCAACAATATCAAATGCTAAAAGAAAAAATGTTATCATTTCCATCAACTCTAACAACAATTAACAATTTTATCTCATATTTACAATATATTGTGTGTGTGTGTGTGTGTGTGTGTGTGTGTGTGTGTGTGTGTCTGTGTCTGTGTGTGTGTGTTTGTGTGTGTGTGTGTGTGAGAGAGAGTTTCATCTATTGAAATGTCACAAATTTGAAATCCATCAATGCATGACTTGTAAATCAAGGTGTGTGTGTGAGTTTCATCTATTGAAATGTGACAAATTTGAAATCCATCAATGCATGACTTGTAAATCAAATATACAAACTTGAAAATTTTTTCTTTAGTGAACTCATTGACTCTTCATGTTTCCATTCAATAATTGTTCCATGATTAGAGTACCAAAACACTTAAAAAAAATTTAAAAAGCTCACTAAATGATTTCTGAAAATCAACATATATCAATGTAAACAGACTAGTCTAACTCATGTTTTTCTATGTGTTATTTGATGATCAAATTTTTCATGAACCTTAGACATGAAAATTATTATTAATTATTTAAATTTTTCACGCATGATATTTAAGTTAGTGTGATCTGTCGTAAGTCATTTAGTCTCACATCTATGATTATTAAAATATTTTCCTATCTTTAAAAGGTTACCTCCAACCTTCCAACCTTGAAGAAATCATGGACAACCCAATGAATCATAAATATGCATCTCACAATTCATAAACTCTTGGTTGATATTACAACCTTGAATTCTTTATTTTGAGCAAATTTGAAATTGTCATTCATTTCAACTTAACTTCGCTGCTGAACCGTGTATTTTTTTTTCTAACTTTTGTTTTGGCATCCTTGAACCAAACAAACAATATTTTATCTCAGATTCAGGTATAGACACAAAAATAACTTTCTCATTCTCTAATGTTGAAAATTAAGATATACCATTATTTTGCATTTACATCCTTATTAATTGATTTAAAGATTTGTCTAGTATCATTTTAAGGTAAATCTGAAATATATTATCGAATTCACTTTCAATGGATTTACTCTCTCTATCGTCTTCTAAGGGTTCATTTTTCTCCGAATTTTTGATGCTTCTTTGAGATATGTGCATCATTACACAAATCAAAACTAACTTCATCTTCTATGTAGAATTTTTTAAAATTAATTTCATGAAATACATAAAATGAAAATAATTAATTATTCATACTACTAAATAGACTAAATTTTATTTTTTTTAAAAAAATGTTTGCCTGATTTCATATTGGTTGTGGCTACTTTTCATGTGTCTTTAACTACTTAAGCATTTATTAGTTGATCTATATTCATGCTCGTTAGGGCCTGCACTAAATGATTGATGGATCCATGTATTGCACTGTACGCAAAATGAGACTAACTGATTGTGTCAAATTCATAAATTCATGTTAATAAATTTATATGATAACCATGTTGATCATTCATTTGAAATAGATTATATTGATTTATTGATTTAGTCTTTATATACATCTCCAAAAGATTTACATCAATTTTTTTTAAAAAAAATGTAAAGAATGATAAAGATTTGTAGGAAAAACTGGTCATTTTCAATTTTGAACCCAATGAACGTTAGTAATTTTACATTGAAATGAGCATGGATATTTTTCATAAATATTCATTTTGTTATAAATTCATTGAACGAGTGGATAGTCCATAAGGTTGATACATGAACAACCATCCATATTCACTAGATTCATGAACCGTTTTGGATAAGAATGTATCTATTTATTATGATACTTAATATGGTGACTTTTGGAGTGATTTCTCACTCTATAAATAGGATTGTTCATTCACTATTGTATGAGATACAGATAAGACTAACATATACTTGAATAAGAAGAAAATTCCTCTTCTTCTATCTACTTCTCTTGTCTTCTTCTCTTTATGATTATATTCTTATAGCTTGATTTTATAACACGTTATCAGCACGAGACTCTATCCAATTGAGAGTGAGTTCTTGCTTTTTTTAGCTCATATTTTGATTGATCTCGTTATGAAGATCAAAGTATTATATGCATAAAATCAGGTATGTATTTTCTAAAATATTTTATGATTTAGAATAAGATAGTGTTCAGCCACTAACAATTATCAGGAACCGAAGACATATACTAGTATTGGTTGAATATGACATACTATACAAAACTTCTTAAATGGAAGAAGGTATAAAATTTTAATAGCATGAGTTTGAATATTATTTTGATTGTTTTGAAAGACTCAAAGAATAAATCATGTTGTACTTTGATTTATTATACCGTTGGTTAAGGGTAAGACTATGAATTCAAGTTTCATCACACCAAAAGTGTAAGACATCAGGTTAAAGTCCGGATGCACCATAATGAAAAATATTTGAGGAAAAGACGATAGATTCAAGTTCTATCGCAGAAAAAGGTTAAGACATCAATTAGAGTTTTGATGCACCGTGATTGGGTTCAAGTCCCATAGAATTATGGCGTAACATGTCTTATATGGGTAAGACATTGAGTTTGAGCCAATGCACCATAGCGATGATAAAAAGATGACTAAGAAAAATAATATATTTTTGATGAAATATCTTGAAATTCATCATATTGAATTTGCTCCATTCCTTGAAAAGAATGTGGTAGCAACATGTGATAACTCTGAAATCCGTCTGTTGACTTGCTCCATTCAATCATATGAATTTGATAGTAGTGAATGATTAGTCTGAAAGATGACAAATAATTAATGATATGAATAAGGGCGTGAAGAGACAGCATTATAATAGTCATCATTGTGGTAATGATAAAAAGAAGAACACTATGAGTTCTTCAAATAGTCCTTCAAAATGT